AAAGAAGCAGCCCCAGCACATGCTGCCATGCTACTCACTATCTATGACAGAATAGATAATGAGTAGCATAGCTAGTCAGAGAATGGCATTCATGATAGAACGCTAGTAGATTTATACTAAAACAACTTTAGAGACAACACTAAGCTCTTATTAGTTGTTGATTCTTGCTTTTAAACATAATTATGCAGATCAATTGTTTTAGAATGAAATAAATGAAAGAAGTGTTCTACTTCAGAAAAGAATTAAATTTTCACAGGACCCTTGATTGGCAGCTTATGGTTACAATCATAGAAATTAGCCTTTTTTTCTTGACAGAGTCAAAAGATTTAACCTGTTGGTATTTTTAGTGAATTAGAGAGCATATTGATGTTTAACCTTTGTGACCTGTGAAAAGTCAATATCTGATGTTGTAGTTAAAGCTGTTTGTATGGTACTTGTTCTTAGGATATCAGTTGGAAGATTTGTAGGACTAAAATAGTCTGCTAATGGCCCAAAAATCTCTGATAAGCATGCAGTTTCGTATACAAACTGCCTTTTCAAATATACAGTAAGAATAATTTACAAAAATATCTTTTTTTAATAAAAAGAACTCTTCTCTTGGACAGGATGAGGGGATTGAAAATGACATCAGTATTGATGACATGCTCTCGCATGATGATGAGGAAGAAACAGAAGTTGATGGTATGAAATTTTGTCCTAGAGATTTGGACTAAGTAATCCATAAGTAATAATCATGCACTTAGGGATAGTGTTTTAGGGAGACTGGAATTTACTGGCTGGTTAAGACAAGATTTTGGTGACCAGCCAGAGAAATACTTACAACGTACTTGCACTGAATCGTAGGACATCTACATGTATTTAGGTGGGCTGCCAAAAAAAGGTTAGGTCTGCGTCAGGCCAATGGCCCATACAGCCGAGCTTATCCTGGTTTTTGTAGCAATGAAGCAGCTTGGAGTATTTCTACTCCACCCTGGATGAATGCTAGTCCATCACAGGGTTACAACAAGCATTAAATTCAGTGGTAGTCAATGACCCGCCAGGGCTCTAACCCAGAGTCCAGCATGCTAACAATAAGGCCACCATGCTTCCATGGGTGTGCTGTGCATTGTCTTAAGTTTTATGTCATGTCATTTTGCAAATACAGTAATGCAACCTTTTGTTATATTTTTTTGTCCTAGATGAAACACTAAGTCAGGCATCATCAGCGACTTCAGCTAGTGCATCAGGTGTTTATGAAATCCCTGCACGTCTAAGAACACTGCACAATTTAGTTATACAGTATGCATCACAGGTAGGAATTTTTTAACATATTTTTTGTGTTGTTTATAAGCAGTTTTATAGGACTTTCTCATAGGGCAGAAACAAGTAGACAGAAATGACTTTCTAGTGTTTTAATTTGTTAATGCTAACGGTCTCCTGAATCTTGTGAGTACTTTCCAAGCTGCAAACTGAATGTTTAAAGGAAAGGATTGTCTAATTGCATTGCCAACAGATAGAAAAGGTCACAAATAGCAGTGATTAAATTATCTGCCTGTTCCTGAAGAGGTATTCCTTGGCATATTCTCAAACCTTTTGTTTGAATCAGAGTGTGTGACCATTCAAATGAAAGCTACTGAGCAGTACTTTCATGTGGTACTGTTTATTATTATTCTTGTCAAGTGAAAGGTGTACAAAATACTGACTCATATACTGTTGTTAGGGTCGATACGAAGTGGCAGTTCCCCTCTGTAAGCAAGCACTAGAAGATTTGGAGAAGACATCAGGCCATGATCATCCCGATGTTGCTACAATGCTCAATATCCTTGCTCTTGTGTACAGGTAATGTGGTGCTATCAGTAGCTTCATCATTTACTTGTTTACCTTGCTCCACAGAAGGCTCATTTGCAGTAAGTTATGGTCCATTTGATAAGCTTGTAGTACATAACAACTGACATTGTTTACAGTAGTGTACAGCATTGTGAATTGATGTGGAAAAATATTTTTTTAATGTTAAAAGGTCTTGAGATACCTATACCTCTAAGTTCTCCAAACTCAGATTCAAAAGAAATGCATGGAATAGGTGAGGAGAATTAGCATTTCGATGATGGGAATGAAGGGCTTAAAAGTTGAACAAAAGGCATTTTCTGGACAGTTTTGGTGTTTGTGGCTAAATAGTGTTCCAAGTGATTATTGCAGTGTCAAATTCTTTACGTAGCACCATTCTGGACTTTGTGTTTGTTTGTTGGTTTGTTTGTCATCCTGCAGTTGTTTGCAGAGTATACATGTAACAATTTTGGCTGGGGTATCGTAGCATAGAGAGGGTTATTAACTTACTTACAAGCGGCCAGGAAATCCCTTCACAGCATTGCACTAGAGGGATCCTTTCAGGTGTACAAAAATTTGTTAACAATAATAACTGTACATGTATGTAATGCAATAAGAACAATATTTTGAAAAAAATTGCTTGGAATTGTTATGTGCATAGTCAATTGCTGCAGCAGTTGATGGGTGATAACTGATACAGTGCAAGAGATGTTGTATCTTAGGCTTCATTTCCTTTGTCAGATACAATATAGTACACCCTGCCGTAGATCTCCCTAAGTGTGTCCTTTGGGACATAGTTAATTTCCTCATGCATCCAGTGAGGCATGTCATTGAAGACGACCGCAGCTTGGACAGGATTAGTGTAAAGAGCCTTGGACTTTTGTCTGGTGCCAGCTCCGAGGCATCAATGGCTGACAGTGGCATGACAGACAGCGAGCTGTTGCTTGTGTCTGGCATCATGTTTGAGCAACACGACAAGTTGACGGTACACATGGACACTGTTGAAGAGACTGTTGGACAGTATTTGCGAGGTCACATAGGGAATTCGCTGGCCTCAAGAGTATCTGTCTAGATGGGGCAGACATGCAAACTGCACTTCAAAACTTTGATGTTTGAAAATAATGACGGAAATATACTGCGATCTACAACTATGTGACTACATACATTCCATTGGTGGTCGTAATGACTCGACAAAAAGATTTGTGATATATGCTCTCAAATGACATCTTGAGATTCACNGATCTCGTTGCGAGTAGGATAAAACCAGAATGCAAACTTCACAATTTTTAAAAGCTTTTTGAAACTCAGCTTGGACGAAAATGCTCTTCACAGCTAGAAACATTAGAAAAGAGCTCCTTCAATCAAAGACATTCTTCAATTGAGAATGCTGCCTCGCCAGGTCACATTGAGTAAAATTCGCGCTTCACAAACGTCTCTCTGAATGTTATTGAAACCGAGAATTATCAAAATAAATGAGAATATGAATTATGAATTAGTATATATATTTTTTTTTTTCGAAAAGTATTGAAACTCGCATTTTGGTTCAGTGAATGACAGAAACCTATTCCCTGGGGAATTAAGACAAACATGGTGACTGTCCTCGAATTATACTCGTGTCAAAGCTTGTGTCATTAAGAAAAATCGAGACTTGGGCGTGTTATTTGGGATGTCTGCGGGCAAAATATGTCAAAAACTCTGTGTTATTTCTTTGTTTTCGACGCCGCTAAATACAACTTTCTGTAGCAGTGTTCTTTGTTAAAGAATAGTTTGTAAAGTGGATGCCAATCTTTGATATGCCTCTGCAACACTCCGTCTAAACTAAAACTAATTCATCTGCAGACAATGTGATTTCTCTCCTAATACCTTTAGAATAATTAGGTGAACAGTTCAGTTATTTCAATTAGTTAGAAATTATAATTAGTCTTAATTATGTAAGACACTGAGCTCCCTCGTGAAATTGAAACTTAATTTAGAGGATATCGAAACCAACTGAAAACCAAACCATCACAAGTTTTGTTGACAAATGACACACGCGTGCCACATAAACAGGATACGCGAAACTCTCGGAAGGCAAATTGCGAAATATTTGTCTTGTAAATAGGAAGTTAGGAATTTTTGGCATACCAATACTTCACAAAAAGGAGCATGCAAACTTTAGCCTGCAGGAAGTCAGGGTTGTCTCTTGTCAAGTCTGGTGTGTGACGTGAAATTATAAACTACAGTTGCAAGTTATACAACACAGTTAAACTTCCCGACATTTTCGAAATGTTTGCTTCGTTTCTATGAATGGCCTTTATGTTACTCTCGAATTCTGAAGATTTATTCATTATTTCAAGACCTACTGAACATGGTGACCGATCACAAATTATTTTTCTGTCGAAGCTGAATTCTAAGAGTTGACTGAAGGCAACAAGCTTGTAGTATACACCGTGAAAGATTGATTTATACTTACCTTTCTCCCCTTCTGTTATCCTGTTTCTTATCGCTATTCGCGCCATAGGACTTGTTTGTCGTCAAACTTGGGTCAAGAGGTTAGAAATTCATACCTAAATAAACACAAAACTCTATCTAACCGACTATTGAGCAAAAACGCGAAGCTGAAACGCAAACTATTCAATTTTGACGAACAATTGTTCGTGTTTCTCTTTGGTCGCTCGCAAGTCTTGGCAGAAACTAGTCTTGTACAAGGGAACCGTTATTCAATTGTGTTTGAAAAAGAACGTTTGAATATATAATTGAGGGTCTTTGTGTGGGGTTATTGTTTTGTCAACTTCACGCCAAACACTTAATATTTATACTTGCTTCATTCGTTGAAGCGTGAGCTATTATTCAAAGGCTGTAAATAAGTTAGTAAACAGACTGTTCTGGGGGTAGATAAGTTGCTTAAATCGGGGTTTATCGCCTAGAATTTTCGTCATGCATTTAAGGCCAGACAAGAAGTCTGCCTTTTTTAAATGGGATTGTTCGATGGACTGTGTTCTGCTCTGTTTCTCTAATGCTAATTCGCCATTTGAAAAAGAAATAAATAACGTGTTGTGATAATTTTTGCGATGTATAGCGAGCATAAGCTGCAACGAAACGTCGCATCATTTACGCCGGAAAATAGCTGTGTAATCTGTTTTCCAAATTATTTACTACAGGGGGGGAGGGGGGTAGTATTTGAAACTATACAAATGTTTAATTGGTTTTTTAAAAGCTGTTTTTGTTTGCATCGGTATTATGGATTAAGCTTTTTCAAAATTGCATTCTCAAAATTAAAATATTTATTAGCTTGTTATTTCCATTTGGTGCAATGAATGCGCTTTTAAAAATTAACTTATGGTGAAAATCATTTTGTATCGAATTTCCTTTGGAGTAGACGCGTGGAAAGTCATATGAGAAAGTTTTCCTTCAAATATTTTACGGATGTAAATGTGATTTAAGGATTAAAAAGGTAATATCTCGATCTGTGCTATGGCGTGTTATTTCCGAGAGAAACAGAAATTTTAAATCGTTTCTGTTTCGTTGAAATCGAGAAACAGATGTTCGCTGAAAGCCGGTGTCGACACAGCGTTGCTGTGTCAAAATTTGTAGGATTTCTTATGTAAACGCCAAGTTGAAAAGTGCGCTAACATTTGTGCTCTACCTTACCTGTTTCCACAGAGATCAGAATAAGTATAAAGAGGCTGCTAACTTGCTACATGACGCGCTGACGATCCGTGAAAAAACATTGGGCGAAGACCATCCAGCCGTGAGTTGTTTGATCAATAATCACTTGGTGTTTTGTAGACTGTCCCTCAATTTCACTCTCCTTCTCTTTCATGGTTTCACTCTTGACAAAACGTACTTGAAACATTGTACTTTTCACCTTACCTGTGTTAAAGATAGTCGAAAAAAGAACTGAATTCTAGAAGCGTGGCCGTTGTTAATAAGCGATTTTCGTTCGCTCTGGTGATCATAGCTTTGTTCTGTTTTGTTATCTAAATGTTCGTTAAACTGAAACCTGCCCACGGTTTGCAACATTTTCTCGGTTTTCTGTGAACAGAAAACCAACTTGCCAAGCATCCGTGTCCATTGTGGAACATTGAGAAACTCTGCTAGATTTTGTTCAAGCGCGCGATCTTTTTGTTACGTGACGAGTTTGAACGTTGATCGCCGTCCATGGGAGCTCTACCTGAAACTGATATACCATGCTGATATTACTGTCCATAAAAGGAGCGACTGTGTGGCGTCATTTTCTGTTTGCGAGGTCAAAGGGTCTTTCATTGAACGGTGTCATTTGGCGCTCGATCAACACTCTATTCTCGGAGTTTTCCAAGATCTTGTGCGAACGTATATTCGATATCTTTTAGCCTTCTTCGTCTCTGTTGGTAATTTTAATTTGTCAGTATTTTAAGATGTCACAGACACTGAATTAGGTAACGGTTGTTTTTAAAAGAAGGTTGTTAGTTATGCCTGTTGATCATAACAAATGAGCAAATAAATTGTAGACGAATTGAGGCGACCAAATATTTATTTTGTCTGGTGCATGATTTGGGCCGCTGTTTTTATGCTGGGAAAGCCAATAAATATCAGCTTGAATAGTTTTGGTTTGAGACACGTTAAAATACCGCTAAACTCATGGCAAAATAAAGTTTCAACCCATTGGAAGTCTACAAAAACACCGAAATTTTTTTCAAAAAGGTCTAAGAATTGCCAAAACTGTTGCGATTTGAACGACGGGCGACATTCACCTGTTACTTTCGCAGACAACTGAATATTAAAACATATAGTTCTGTTTGTTTTTTTTTTTAACTTCTACTTATTTCCCGCAACTCGTTGAATGCCCTTTCTTTGAGACCGTTCCAAGAGTCGGGTAAGTTTTTTTCAATAGATCTTTCAACTTTGTAACAAGATGAAATTTAGCTCAACTTTGTATCGCGAGCGATGTGGTTTTTTTGCTACTTCGCGAAGATAAATATTGCTGTTCAAAGCCGGATTTGATTTTAAAAGCTTCTAAAAGCTTATCCGTCTTCGAAATCAAAAAGCTTAATGCGCGTGGTAAAATATCAGTTGCGTTACAGCCTCAGAGATCGTTTCTTGGCGACTTAGAACTTGCCAAAATCTACTCCAACCTTTCAACGAATAGTAACGGTATTTTAAGCCAGTTTACATGTAACTCTAAGTTTTTTCTGCCAAGATTTTTCTTGTTCAAGTCAGTTTTCTCTTTCTTTTTTTTGTTTTTGTCCTTTTCCGTTCTTGGGTTGTAGCAAAGAACTGAACCTTTGTTGTCGTATTTGTTTTAGGTTGCCGCAACTCTCAACAATTTAGCAGTTCTTTACGGCAAGAGAGGAAAGTACAAAGAGGCAGAACCTTTGTGTAAGAGAGCCTTGGAGATACGAGAAAAGGTAAGAACTGTTTACAGTGGTTTGTCCAATGACCACGTTAAAAGCTGTCTTCACCTTTGGCTTATCACAACAAATTGAGAAAATGCAATTAACCAATCAGAGCACAGAGTAAACACAGCGTGCAACCCGTGCCAAACGCGGGAAAAAGCACGTGAATTCTTGGCCTTTATTGGTTGAAAAAAGGAATGTTTGTGCTGATTGGACAGAGCACTTAGCACGAGCACTTTTGCAGACGAATTTACTGTTAATCAAATTGTATTTGAAAGAGCTTGGAAACTTTCCTATTATTGCTGCAGAATATTTCTAAGCGCACTTCTTCTGATACTTCTTTCCTTGCAGGTATTGGGTAAAGACCATCCCGATGTGGCAAAACAGCTGAACAATCTGGCCTTGTTATGTCAAAACCAAGGAAAATATGACGAGGTATACATGCTGAACTACTATTAACTACTGTTGAACCCAGACGTCTGTTGAAATAGCTTCTTCTTTTTTTCAAGCCGTTCCACGCACCGTCGGTTTCAGCCGCGGATTCAAAAAAAGTGATCACGTGATGACAAACATCTCTTGGCTACAGTTTATGGCATAGCTGTTGCAAATTGCTCAAAATTATCAAGGTCGAGGCAAATCTTGCCCATGCGATGGATTTTGCATCGTTTGTTCGTTCTCTATAGCATATCTTGAATTCTTGCTAGAATGTGCGAAACTTGCAAACAAACTGTGAAGCACCTTCCCCGAGGAAAGATTCGCTCATCACACGATCATGAAATTCGTCGTCACGTGATCAGTTTTTTTTGAAATCGCGGCTGAAACCAACAGTGCGTGCAAGGCCTGAAAAAAAAGAAGCCATTTCAACAGACGTTTGCGATCAATAGTACATCCATAGCAAATTTCACCAACATCAGAAGAGTTTGCTCTGTACTATTGTAGTCGCCATTCCTGGGTTATTTCAAGCACCAATTTTCAGTTTGTCTGGCACTAGTGCTACGGGGCTTTTTTGAACCCCTAGATTCTTCTTCCGCCCGTCAGAAATTCCGTGCTCTAAAGAGTGTCTTTTAGTGTCTTTGGTTGCGAGCTGTTACTTGCGCGCGAAATTTTCGAGCCAAGTAACCATCCCGCAGAAAGTCTAATAGTTTTAAAAAATCCCTTGATGGAGTAGCAAAGGTTTTACACGTTTAACTTGGAAAAAGTACCACGTTTTCACTGTGTGATTAGTAAACTACTCTTGGTTGCGCTGTGTAGTGACAGCCGTAGGGTGTAAAGTTCTTTTTGTTTCCTTACCATTGCCGTATTGTTGTTTTTGTTTACAGGTCGAGCAATATTATCAACGGGCTTTGGAAATTTACACAACCAAGCTTGGTCCTGATGATCCGAACGTGGCAAAAACGAAGAATAACTTGGTGGGCATAATGGCTCATTTTCAGAACTTAACGCAAAACCGCTTCGAGTTTTCAATTCTTCTCTTGTTTGGTGGACTCCATATTGATATTTGTTGTCTCTTTCTTTCTTAGGCTTCCGCTTATCTGAAGCAAGGAAAATACAAAGCGGCGGAAACACTGTATAAGCAGGTATGCATTTGTTAAACACAAGTTGATTGCTTACCCTTAGCACGATTCCCTGATATCTCTTAGTGCCTCTTCATATGAGCCCGCTAACCGGGACGAATTTTGTCTGTTCATATGGGAAATTTTAGCCCGGTTGACTGGGATAAAATTCAACAAACAAAACAAAAATGGTGCAACATAAACTTGAATCGTTCGTGATTATCGTAGCGTTGTTGACTCTTGTTCCTTTACTTATAAAGCTAATTGGCATACTTCTGAAGTGGAAACACATACAAGGCAAAAATTATGCCATTTTGGCCACTATGATGGGAAAGCGAAGCTATTTTGTCAAAAAAGTTTCGTCCCGGTCACCCGGCCTGGATTGCTCGGTTAGAAAAAGTTCCATCTTAATTACCGAGATCTCGGTAACCGGGTCAGCCCGGCTTCTCGTTTGCCGAACGCAGGTGAGAATCGAGGTGAGATCTCGGAAGTCAAGCCAGCCCGGTTGACCGGGCTCATATGAAGAGGCCCTTAATGAGATTTTGCGAAATTCAAAGATCCAAAATATGCTACCCCTAAATGAAGGGGTGGTCATATAATGTGCGCTATTCTGTTGGTCGCTTTTCTTTCATCCCGCTTCGTAAAAAATTACCGGCCATTTCCCTCTACATTCTTATTTATTTTCTCTCCTTTCGCATTTTCTCCAGGTACTGACCCGAGCGCACGAGCGGGAATTTGGGCCTGGCACAGAGTCTTCTCTCGAGGATGACGGAAAGCGCGGGAAAGACAACGCGCCGTACGGCGAGTATGGCGGCTGGCACAAAGCGGCTAAGGTAGACAGCCCCACTGTCACCACTACCCTCAGGAATCTGGGAGCATTGTACCGCAGGCAGGGCAAGTTTGAAGCTGCGGAGACACTCGAAGAGTGTGCGCTGAGGTCGCGGCAGAACGTATGTAACGTGAGTTTTGGGGACTAACTGAGTAGAAACTACATTACTTGCAAAAAATTTCGGACGTTTAATTTCGGACCTTTAATTTTGGGACTTTTTTTTCTCATTTCGGACATATTTCGGACAACAGTTTCGGACACTTTGCTCAAACACAGCTAAAGTAAATTTACACCTACAAAACACGGATTAGAGTAAAACGACATCTGTGAAAACGATAGTTTTACTGCAGCCTCGAGGTTTTACGAATACACCGACGAGAAAATAACACAAATTCTATCAAGCCGTTACATATGTCAAGTCGTGTCTCAACTAGAGTTCGCTCCATAAAGCACGGCATAAAAGAAACTAAGAGCTTTGAAGCTACTTCAAAGTTTTATACTGTACTGTAAATATTTCTGGGACACAGAAATTTCGGACGGTTTTATTTTCGGACACTTTTTTGTCCGAAATTAAAATCGTCCGAAATTTTTTGCAAGTAATGTATCTGTTATTAATGATGTCATGATTGCAATCCGTTTGAAGCTTTTTCAGTTTTTGCCAGTTGTATTTTGTTTTAGTTTCCAAGTATTCATCTTGTATTTTTTTCAGTTTCAAATCATTATTAGACGTTTTGTTTGATTTTAATTCTAGTTCACATGCAGTAGATCCTCTTGATGAAAACTGGACAGTCTGATGTAGCGTTGCTCTTCCAGTTTAATTGTTGCACGGACAGTTTTTTTGCCATTTTTTTTCACCGATGACCAATTCTGCAATTGTCCAGCTTTCTATTTTTGATTTCTTCTATCCTTTTATGTTTTATTATCGTTTCTTTAATTTAAAGGTGCCTAACAACATCACCTCTTTAATCTTGTTAACCTTTGCGTCTCTTGTAAGGCCCTTGATGTTGTTCGCCAGACCAAAGTGGCGCAGCTTCTAGCTGAAGACGTCCCTGGAGGTTCGTTTTCCACTAGCAGTGTGGCATCTTCCTCTCCGTCCTTGAACGGAAGCAGCAGCAAAACGTCCATAGACACCGAAAAAGACGATCCAAACGACGACAAGAAGAACGGAAAACGCGAGAAAACGTTTTCCCGCCTCAAAAGAACGCTGAGCAGCCGCGGTCAAAAGCTGATGGAAAAGATGGGCGGCAGCGGTACACGGCTCCAGCGGTCGTCGTCACGTGACAACCTAGCCCATCATGCCAAGCTGTCGCCGTCAGAGAGGATCTCTCGCAGCACACCTATGCTTGCTCAACCGCAATCCGATCACGACAGGGGGAGGTCGGGGAGTGTTACCACCAGGGGAGCCCCGTTGGGATCTTGACGAGCCGATGCCCTATGGAATCCGTTACGACACCAAGAGCTAGAAAGTTATCTGATAGATTAGACTATTTTCGTCAATACCAAGTTTTGATTCATATGATCATTTCTTTTTTTGTTTGTTTGTCTGTTTCAGTTTAGTATGAACTTGCAGCTATGGTTAACTGCAAGTATCGTAGTTAAATTATGCATGAGAAACTGCTGAAAGAACTGTTTCACGATACACTAACTCTTTTTCTGCGTTTTAAAACTTGCCTTAAACCTGAGATACAGCGCACTAAGCTAGACTGGGGAAGATTGAGAGACTTCGAACGAGGAACTAGAAAACGTTAGGCTGAATTTTACAAGATTAACCACCTGTGCGTAGCGTAGCTGTTTTACCCCCGCCAGTAAAAGCTACAGCTTGTAATAGATCCTACAACAGAAACCTGACATGGAATCCCTGATATCCTTAGAAATAAAGGTGAAAAAAAGAACAATTTTGGGGAGATCCAGAACATTTTGGTGGAAGTTTTACTGGTTGGTAGGAAGACAATCTAAAATTCACTGGTTCTAGCTCTTGAAAACTTTATTTCCAAGAATGGTCACTAAGTAATATTTCCTTACAACCTTAATTTATTCCCAACAGACAGGTGACGGGAATAGGTGTTGTCTTGATACACTGCCAAATTGTCATAACTAACAATAAAATCATGTATAGCAACTAGTGTGGAGAATCGATGTTTCAGTCTTGGTTCTAAACAGGTTGTTTGCCTCTCGATTTTCTTTTCTTTTGTTTTTTGTTTTACTGTATTTATTCTCAGTCGGTGGTGTTTGCTTGTGGCTATGGCCAGCAACCTAGTTGAAATTTACTGCTTATGATCTTCACACGGTCAAAATCAAGATAAACAATATTTAATTATGGCAATCGTGTTAGGAATGCTGTACATAAGTAAGTGGCGTTTGAGAGAAAGAGGTTATGAAATAAATTATCGACAGACTGGGACTCGTCAGTAATCTGTATGTAACCTCCAACTCTTCTCCTCCTTTATTTGTGAACGCTATTCTTTCCCTTGGGAAAATGGGCTGGTAAGGGGATGTGGGAGTGGGGGCGGCGGGGGTAGCGGATGCCGTTCTTTCTCGGGGTTGCCTTGTTAGGTAACGTCTTCTAGCGGCTCCTTTGGTTGTGGACCAGTGTAAGATAGCGAGTGGAAAATGCCGAGGGACTTTTTTTCGGGGGGGGG